GCCCAGCGCCTCTGCACACCAGCTGGGGTGCCCGCCCTCCCGCCCGGCCTGCGGGAGCGGCCCCCAGGGGCGGCCTGCGGGAGCGGCTACCTGGTGACGTAGAGGACCAGGTCCGCGGCCCCCGGGGGGCTGACTGTCCGGCTCCACGCACAGACGCTCAACAGCGATGCCGTGATGTTGGCTGTGACCTGAGGGGCGTCCTGGGGAGCAGCAGGGGAGCCCCCATTTACTGGACCCACCGGGCAGGCACCTCAGCCCTCCACACCCTGTCTCTGTCCGCGGCTCAGGGGCGGGCCTGCTGGGCACCGGGCAGGTGGCACCCAGGCGCCGGGGGCCAGGAGAGGGTGGGGAGGTCAGAGGGGGATGGGGAGGACAGAGAGGGGGTGGGGAGGGAGAAGGAGGGGAGGACAGGGAGGGGGAGGGGAGGACAGGGAGGGGGATGGGAGGACAGGGAGGGAGCGGGGAGGACAGGGAGGGAGCGGGGAGGGAGAAGGAGGGGAGGACAGGGAGGGGGAGGGGAGGACAGGGAGGGGGAGGGGAGGACAGGGAGGAGGAGGGGAGGACAGGGAGGGGGAGGGGAGGACAGGGAGGGGGTGACGAGGACAGGGAGGAGGAGGGGAGGACAGGGAGGGAGCGGGGGGGACAGGGAGGGGGTGACGAGGACAGGGAGGAAAAGGGGAGGACAGGGAAGGAGCGGGGGGGACAGGGAGGGGGTGACGAGGACAGGGAGGAGGAGGGGAGGACAGGGAGGGGGCGGGGGGGACAGGGAGGGGGTGACGAGGACAGGGAGGAAAAGGGGAGGACAGGGAGGGGGAGGGGAGGACAGGGAGGAGGAGGGGAGGACAGGGAGGGAGCAGGGAGGACAGGGAGGGGGCGAGGGGGGGACAGGGAGGGGGCAGGAGGGGACAGGGAGGGGGTGAAGAGGACAGGGACGCCGGGCCAGCACCCACCTGGGGTCGAGTCAGGATGACCATTTTCACCAGGTGCACCCGGAACTGGGCCCCCAGGGACGGGTCCCTGAGCAGTTCCGCCGCCTGTGGAGGGGCAGACAGACGGAGAGTCCGCGCGGGCGGGGGAGCCGGCCCCAGGGACGGGCTGGAGAGGGTGCTCCTCAGCGTGTGGGTGGGGGCACCCGGGGTGCCGGGCCTTGGGCTCGGAGGCAGCCAGGGAGGCAGCCGGCCGGGATCGGGACCCCCACCCCACCCCCACGCTCATCGCTCAGGAAGAACCACTGACGCAGAGCAGAAAACTAGAAACAACGGGATTCGGGAAATTGCCACCCGTCTAGATTTGTACCGGATTTGCACCAGAGTGCAGTTCAGATCTCACACCAGCGACGAGCCGGCCGCGGCCACGCCACAGCCCGGCCTGGGACCGTGCCGAGGCTCCGAGGACCTGCGGGCACGTGGCCCCGCGCCCGGCCGCCCGAGCACGCACCATGTTGAGGTTGGTCAGCACGTAGCGCTCCGTGTCCTCCTGGTGAGCCTGGTGCACGTCGGGGCCCACGGCCACCAGCAGCTCCAGGTGCAGGACGGCCCCCTCGGCGGCGTGTCTCCGGGGGCCTGGCAGGGGGGGCAGGCGGGCTGAGATGGAAGGTTCTAGAAAGCCGGTGGCTTGTGGCGTTAACCGCCTGATTCGCGGTCCTGACAGCGCTCCCGGCGCCCACGGGCAGGCCTCGCTGTCACCTGTGCTCCTGGGCTTGGAGTCCTGCCTCTGGCACCTGCACTTCGGGAGTGGGCAGGCCCGGCCCCAGCTTCCTCACCGGAGGGGGCATGAGAGCACCTGCCTGCTGGGCTGGTGACGGCCCTGTGCCTCCCCTCACAGCCCCGCCGGCCTCCTGGGGCCGCCCTGGCCCCCGACCCCCACGAACAGGCTGAGGACGGGTGTCCTCTGACCCCTCGGGGCTGAGCGGTCCCGGGCTCTCGCGTCGCGGGTGCTGTGACGGCCAGAGCCGTGGCGCCCGGGCAGCCGCAGGAGAGAAGCTGCTGGGCCAGGACAGGGGGAGGGCGGGCGGAGCCGAAGGGCTGAGGTCCCACAGCGACCGCACGTTTCGGGGCCTGGGGAGCAGCGTGGGGCCCGGGGAGGAGCCGGTGTACGGCGTTAGTGTCCTTTTGGTCCCCCCAAAACCCCACACGGACAGGGTCACCAAGCAGAGCCCAGGACACAGCCCCACGGTCCTCCAGAGCCAGGGGTCTCCCCAATGCCCCCCCCCACCCCCAGCGACCCCAGGCCCCTGTCTGTGTGTCTCTGACCACAATGGGACACCCCGAACTCTCTCCCATGACCACTGGCCCCCGGCCTCCGGTCCCCACCAGGCTTTGGATCAAAGTCACAGGGGCCCTCCTCGGGCAGGAGCAGGCCCCGGAGGGCCCAGGGAGGGGGAGGCTGCGGCCGGGAAGGGCCAGTGCCTGCCCTGCTCTCACAGAAGCATAAATATTTACATCCACGGCCAGAGGCCGCGGGTTCCGGGAAGTCGGGCAGCTCCGGGAGGCCCAGGAGAGAGGGGCAGCCAATGAGTGGCTGTGCCCAGACACTGCGCAGAGCCCGGGGTCAGAGCCCGCTCCGCCAGAGCGCCCAGACCAGCTTCTGTGGCTTCACAGGAAGTAACGAAGCTCATTAGCGGGCCAGGCTGCGCCTCCGCCTCCTCCAGCGGGGCCCCCAAACCCAGCCCCCCAACTCAACATAGATACCAAAACCCCAGCCCCCAACTCAATGGAGACACCAAAACCCCAGACCCCAACTCAATGGAGACACCAAAACCCCAGCCCCCAACTCAATGGAGACACCAAACCCCAGCCCCCAACTCAATGGAGACACCAAAACCCCAGCGCCCCCTCCCCCCCCCGAATATGAGATACCAACTATCCTCCCCCCCAAATAGAGAGACACCTGGGAGCGCCCTCGCCAGGGCAGCGCCAGGACGAGTACCTGGGAAGGCAGCATCAGGGCCTGAGGAGGAAGTCACCTCTGGGGGCTGGGAAGCCTGGAGCAGTCCCTGCAGGAGAGGAAGGACGGTGAGGGGAGGGAGACCCCAGGGAGCAGGCGGGGCCAAGGCAAGATCGAGGGAGGGGACCTGGGCACGAGTGTCCCCTCCTTCTCCAGGGAGCACCTGCCATCCCAGCTCCACCCAGCGCGAGCCCCGAAGCTGAAGGAGCACCCCACTCTGCCAAGGCAGCCACCTCCTCCCCGGGCCCTGCCCCTTCACCTGGACACCGGGGAGGCCCCCGCCACCCAGGAGGAGGCACGCAGAGGCGAGGACTCCCCATGCGCAGGGCCCCGGAGGGAGAAGCTGCCGCATCCTCAGCAAAGCCAGCTGCCAGAGACGTGGGATCTGGGCAACAACGTGGGATCTGGTCGGGGAGGAATGTGACAGACCCGCTGGGTGCTGGGCGGGGCCATCAGGCTGTTGACTCTGGGGAGCGTCCTCCCAGGGCAGGGGCCATGGGGGCCGGTCCAGGGCTCCTCCTGCTGCAACCTGGGCCTGGGTCAGAGCCCCCCCCCCGGCCCTGCCCCTGGGGTGGCGCTGGCCCCAGGTGCCCAGACCCGAGAGGAAGCACTGGCCCAGGGGTCTGCGCTGTGGCCAGGACAGCGGGCAGGCTCCCACCAGCCTCTCTCCTCGGCTCACACCCTCCTCTCCATGGCCTGGCCCTCTCCCCTCCCTCCCTCCCTCACCCGGGGCATACTCAGGCCCCGCAAACACTGCTCTCTCTGCCTCCTCCAGCTGCTGCCTGGGGGCCCGCACAGACGGACAGTCCCAGAGCCTGGCAGTGGCATCAGAGACCCGGCCGTCCACACCTGCCCGGCCACTACTCCGAGGCTGTTTCCCTCCTCATCCCCTCCCCTCCAAGCAGCGGCTGGCAGACCGGGGCCTCCGGGAGTCCCCGCGGGCGCAGCCCCCTCTCCTCAGCCTGAGCCTCAGGGACGGGAGGATGCCGCTGCCTCGGCTGGGCCAAACCGCTGTCCTCGTTCAGCTGTCCTCGCGCCTGGCGGCCCGAGGCCCCAGCTGCTTCCCCCTTTGTCTTTCACAGGCATCGCACCCCATTGCTGTGGGCGCCCCTACTCTGCGTGACTGCTTCCTGGAGACACATGGCCCCAAGCCAGCACCTCCTGGGCCTGGTCTCTGCTTTCCCTCTCCCTCACTCCCACCCCCTTCCCCACCCAGAGCGGCAGCGACTTCCAACACCGCAATTCACATTGCATCACTCCTGCCTTTAAAACAACCTTTGCCCTTGGGATACACTGTCCAGACTCCTTTCTGCGGCCTCTGAGGCTCTACCATTTCCCCCCTGCCCTCCACACCCCCTCCCATCCCTCCGCCCCTCTCAGCCCTCCCCCGTTCCCCGCCCTCCCCACTTCCTGCCCCCCCCCCCTGCTCCCAGCGCTTTAACCGCACCAGCCTTCTCTCCCTCCTTCGATACACCTAATGTTTGCTGGTCTCTCTGACCCCGGGCCTCACATCCATGTTTCAGCTCAACTGTCACCTCACCAAAAAGGCCTTCCCTAGAGGACCCATCTGAGTTACCAGTTAAATCTGAATTTCAGATAAACAACATTACGTACATGTTATTTTACATATATGTATATGTTACAGGTGGGTGGTGTTGTGACGTACCCCGAATCTCACAAAGGACGCCTCAAAAAAAGGTCGAATTATGGAGTCATTTATTAAAGGCCGGCGGCATACGAGGGGCTAAAGCTCCAGACCTCGCAGCCCCGAACAGCTTGCCTTATATCACCAAAGTATCGATTACATCTCTGGGTCTGGAATGAGGAACCTGTTTTCGTGCAAAGCTTTTACAGAAGTGAAACTGAGCACATTAGTTACCTAAAGTATCTAAGAATCACTGAATGGACAGAAATACATCCTCTGGGACGGACCATCTGGACAATTTAGAATAATTGTGCTGTGCAGATTCCGGGACCACTGAGTCAACAGGAATGCACTATCTGTAGCTACTGAGACAAGTTAGGATAATGGATCTGTCCTGGGTCCCAGAAGAATGCGCTTTGATGACCAGTGAGACCACAATCAATGGGACATTCAAACCACCACCCATGGAGTATTGGGATGGCAAACGTACGTTCAGAAAATCAAAATAACTTCCTGTTGTTTTAGCGAACACACAAGCACAGAACCCCAACAGCAGTTTCTCCCTGAGGTGATGGCTACCGTCCTTCACGTTTCAGCGTAAGCACGCCCCCAACACTGCAGCTCCTGCATGGGCGCCCTGCATCCCCTGTCGGGTGCGTCAGCCTCAGTCACCAGCGCTGTAGCTGCCAGCGCCCCGACCAGCTGGCTGCTGTTATCTGTATTCCCGGGACGAGGAAGGGAGGCCTGATCCGTGTTGTCAGGACAGCAGGGCCAGGCGGGGTGCGGGCCGTTGCTTATCACAGTGGGTATGTGAGGCGATGGCAGGCCGTTTGGCCCTCTCTCTGGTTTGTGCCTTTGTTGTTGTTATTCCTCACCGAGGAATAAATTTTCCATTTATTTTTAGAGAGACTGGGAGAGAGAGAGAAACTGTGATGGGAGAGGGACATCCACTCTGCCTCCCGCACGTGCCCGCCGGGCGGGGATGGAGCCAGCAGCGGGGTCCGCGCCTTTAACCGGAATGGAACCCGGAACCCTCGTGCCACAGGCCACGTTCTATCCGCGGAGTGGAGCCGGTCAGGGCCCTCCGCGCCGCTGGGAGTGACCCGGGCGGCGTGAAGGCTCTGCAGCCCTGGGCTCTGGGACCGGGTCTCCCTTCCCGCGGCGCCCGGCCGCCCAGCGCCCCCTGGCGGCCGCGGCCCCGCTCCGCCGCCCCAACGGGCGCCACCCCGACCGCGGCCCGGTTTCCTTCCGGCGCCGGCGCGTCTCCCCCGATCCCGGACCTCGTGAGACCGGGCTCGCCCGACCCAACCCCACGTCGCGGCCCCGAACGCCGCTCGCTGGGGGGACCCCGTGCCCGCGGGAAACAGCCCCGCCGGCTCCTTCCGGGCGGAACGCGAGGCGAGGGCGCGGCTTCCCGCCGGCCGGGAGAGGGCGGACTTCCGGGGGCGGGGACGCACGTGTCGCGAGAACGCGGGCCGCTTCCGGGTTCGTCGCCGGTGCCGGAGGCCGGCTTCCCTCCGCTGTCAGCCCTCCGCCGGCTGGGCCTGCGCCGGGGCGCGTGCCGGAGCCGGGGCGGCGCGGGGATGGCGAGGGCCCCGGGGCTGACCCCCGCGGCCCAGCCCGGGCTGGCCGGGAAGCTCCCGCGGGAGAAGAAGAAGAAAAAGAAAAGATTCTGGAAAAACAAGGCGCGAGAAGCCAGCAGGAAACCGGGGGGCGATCCCGCGGCTGCGCTGCGCCCCCCGAGGGCCCCGGAGGCCTTCTCCCAGAACTGGAAGGCGCTGCAGGAGGTGAGCGGCGCCCGCCCGGCCCGCGGGCGGGAGACGAGGGCGCCGCGTGGGGCCTGGCAGCGGCCCGGGAGGCAGATGGAGGAACGCTTAGCGGGCAGGTTCACGCGCGGGGAGCGCGGCCCGTGCGGAGGCCAGTAAGCAGCAGGGTCCCAGCTCTGCAGACGTGCAGGCGCCGCACGTGATCCAGCGCGTCCTGGCCTAACAGCCCCCCAACACTGAGGGACTCCGTTACCATCCCTGTTTCACAGACCGGACGTGGGCGCAGAGGTTACCGTACCCAGGTCCCAGCCCGAGGGCGGGACCGGGAGTCTAACACAGTCCCTGCCCTGAGGGGGGGCTGGCCCGGCCTTTTTGGCCTCAGTGGCAGCGCTTGGCAGGTGCTGGTCCAGGCGCCTCACTCACACATTCTCCCCTCCCCTCTGCTGTCTTCCACGTGTACGTACACACGTTTTTTCAGTCTGTGTGTGATGTCCACATTAAAATTGTGTGTTTATTTTAGGTGTTGAAACAGAAATCACAGGCCCCAGGAAAGCCTCTGGTTCTTTCTCCGAGGGATTCCAAAAAGCAGCCCCAGGTTGCCCAGCAGGACGGAAAAGCGGAGCACCAGGAGGTGGGGATGGAACAGGCAGGCAGAGAGGCCCCCACGGGCTCTGTTCCTCCAGCATCGCTGCCCAACGGGAGGGCGCCAGGGCCCCCCAAGAAGGCCCGCGGAGCAGAGCGCACTGAGAAAGCACCCAAGAGGACAAATGGTGACATTTCTCCAAAACGAGGGGACCTCAAGCATAAGAAGCGGAAAGCCAAGGAGGTGACTGCAGCCTTGACCCCAGCCCCGCCCACCGAGTAAGTACTGGCCGTCTCTCCCCTGGGACTGGCCGTGCCTCCTCGGCCGCCCAGCCTGTCGTGTGCACCGCCCAGGACAAGTCCTGGCCACTGGAGCCTGTCTCCTTAGGCCCACCCAGAATGGGGCAGGGCCAGCTGCTGTGCCCGGGCCCAGACAGCTGGGCACTTAGTGGTTCCGGGGAGGACCCGTGGAATGAATGAACGTCGAAGCCGGTCCCTGCACCTTGCTAGTTGGGCAGGGCCTCCCCGTGGTCATCAGTGTTGTCGGGGCGGGGAGGGGGTCTGTGAGATGGGACGATGGCTGAGCGCCCCATGGTTACTCAGCAGACCCGTGATGTCACTCACCGGGAGGGCCAGGGGTCAGGGCGCCCCTGAGTGGCTCAGCTGGAGGGGGCCTGCTTGTGGCTGGGCCGTGTGCGTGTCGCCGGTGGCAGTTGCTGAGGGGTGTGGGCAGCGTCTGAGGCCGCCTGTGTCACTGTGCGGGCCCAGGGGCCCTCCCTGCTGAGGCTGAGGTCAGGTGAGGAGACAGACCGTAAACTGAAGTTATTTCAGTAACTCGGTTGCTCCGGGAGGAGCGGGTCCACAGTGAGGTCAGCAAGCGGTCCCTGGGGAAGGGACATTGGAACTGAGAATGTTCTTCAGCTGCGGCCGTCACACTCGGGCCTGGGGGGTTGATGTTTCTGTTTTCCACTCTGTTTACCTGCGGTTCCTAAGTTTCGGGTAATGAGCGTATTTTCTAACTGAACAGGAAAACGGTGAGAGGGTAAGTGTCCTGTGAGCGGAACGGCAGGAGCAGGGGGCCACTGGGGCCAGCTGTGGGGGTGTCTCCACGGCCCACACTCACCACTCACCGTCCCTCTGCCTTTTAGACCAGACATCTGGTTCGATGACGTTGACCCGGTGGACATCGAGGCGGCCATGGGCCCGGAGGCAGCCGAGATAGCGAGGAGGCAGCTGGGCGCCGGGGGCAGCAGCGCGGCGCTGGAGAAGGAGCAGGCCTTCGGCGGGTACGCGCTGTGCTCGGGGTGGGGGAGGCCCCTCCGCCCCCGGGGCCACAGCTGGGCGCTGGCGGTGCCGGTCCCCGGGGGCCCGCCGTGGGTGAAATGGGAGCCTCTGTCCCTTCAGGCTGACGAGAGCCTTGGCGCTGGACTGCGAGATGGTGGGCGTGGGCCCCGCGGGGGAGGAGAGCCTCGCTGCCCGCGTGTCCGTGGTGAACCAGTTTGGCAAGTGTGTCTACGACAAGTACATCAGGCCGACCCAGCCCGTGACCGACTACCGGACGGCGGTCAGCGGCATCCGGCCGGAGCACCTCCAGCAGGGTGGGTCCCTCCAGGCCATGAGCTGGAGAGGACGGGCGGGGCAGGCTCAGGCTCACTCTCCTCTCGTCCCTGTTCTGGAGCCTTCCCCGTAACAAGGATCCCAATCTCCCCTCCCCGGGGTGAGCCTTCGGGTGGCTCCCTGCTGTCCTCGTACCGGATCTGAACTCGGCCCTGAGGTCTGGCCGGACAGCGGTGGCTTTCCTGCCGCTCGGAACGCGTCTGGCTTGCTTTCAGGGGAAGCGTTTGCAGTCGTTCAGAAGGAAGTGGCTGAGATGCTGCGGGGCCGGATCCTCGTGGGACACTCGCTGCACAATGACTTGAAGGTGCGGCTGCCGCAGCCCCGCCGTATCCTGGGGTCTGCCTGTGTCGGAAGCACTGGGAACGGCCTGGGACACGCTTCCTGCGTGCTCCTGTGTCCTCGGAGCCTCACAGGCACTGCCACATGAGCTCTCGCTCCAGAGTGAGCCCGGACCTAGTGCCAGGCCCTGCCCCCGCTCTAGCACCTTCCCCGCAGACACAGCCGGGCCGCGCCTCTGCAGCTTTCACCCGTCGCGGTGAACAGGGCTCCTGCGAGGTCGGGGCCCCTTCTGTTGGGAAGCAGTCCGGGCGGCCCCCTCACCTCCTCAGCCTCTGGTGGGCACATGGCAGGCGCCAGAGTCCACTCCTGGTGCCCCAGAGGGCGTGGCCTCAGGCCTCTGCTTCTGGAGGGTCTGTCCCCATGAGAGCTGTGGGGCGGGTGGAACAGGAGGCGGCCCTGCCTCGCTGGGTTGTTCAGACCGTGGCCCACGGAACCCTGGAGTCCTCGGACGTGCAGGGACCGCTCCGTGATGGCCGATGGCCTCCACTGCCTTTCCGAGTAAACCCTGAACCGCTGGAAGCTAGCCGGTGCTCCGCCCAGGGTGCAGCGTCCCCGCCCAGAGCCACCTGCCCGCCAGTCTCGCTCCCCCCGGAGCCGCCTGAGGCTGCCTGGCCGGCTGCGGCCGTCCCGGCGGCACCGGCTCAGATGCAGGAGCGGACGGGCTGCGCTGGCGCGGCCTCGTCTCTGGATGTGCTCACTGCGGTCAGCGTGGGAATTTCCTTCCAGAAGTTCAAATTCCCTTTGATCCCTGTTTTCATTCGTGTGCTTTGTGTGGGAATTCCTTGCAAAAAGTCACTTGAAAGAAAGGAGTTGCAGCTACAAATAAAAAGTGACCGTCCCTCTTTCCTTCCAGGTCCTCTTCCTTGATCACCCGAGAAAGAAGGTTCGGGACACACAGAAATACAAGCCTTTCCAGCAGCAGGTGCAGGTACGGCGCCTGCTGGGCACACAGCCGTTGCTTCTGGTCCTTGGTGGCTGGTTGACGGGCTGGAGGTTTGGTTTTCCCTGTAACCTAACGAGTTTCCGTGGCGTCGGGCAGGTTCTGGGATGTGCAGGGAGGGGCTGGGGGGCGGAGCTGCAGGTGACCCCCCAGGCCACTCCCGGGCAGCAGGCCTCGGAGGGCTGTGGGCTGGCGGGTGGGCGTGCCTGCAGGCCTCTGCCCAGCACCCTGTGCCTCTCCCCAGAGCGGAAGGCCGTCCCTGAAGCTGCTGGCCGAGAGGATCCTGGGTGTGCGGGTGCAGCAGGCGGAGCACTGCTCGGTGAGTGCTGAGCAGACACCAGGGCCTGGGGACCTTAGGAGGCTGCTGCTCCATAAACACTGACCTGGCAGTGGACTCACCGGGGTTAGATTCTAAACGTTTCTGTTAACGGAGCACAGCACTAACCACTGCTGTAATTGGAGAGGAAGACCCTCGTTAGGGCTTGGCCCAGGCCAGCCGGCCCCCTCAGCCCTCTGACAGGCCTGGGACCCGCCGGCCACCACGCTGTGGTCATCGGCCTGGGCCTGGGCCTGGCACCGGGCTCCGCGGGCATCCCTGGCGCTGGCTGTGGCCCGAGGCTCCTCCCAGGGCACAGGGCCTTCGTCCTCAGCTCTCTTCCACTCACCGGGGTCTGGCCCAGCTCGGGAACGGGGGTTGGCTGTCATGGGCCATGCGTGTCGCCTGCTGGACCGTCACGGGTGTCCGTGTCACCTAGATCCAGGATGCCCAGGCAGCAATGAGACTCTACGTCACGGTGAAGAAGGAGTGGGAGCGCGCGGTCCAGGACAGGCGCCCCGCCCCGGCCGCCGCTCCCGACGACGCGTAGCGGAGCCCACCACCCCCGGGGCAGGCAGCGTTTCCGTCCACGGGCACTTGTGACCAAGACACAGGACCGACGGAGTCCCCCAGAGGTGACAGATCGCAGCAGCGGAGGCGCGTGCTGCCGAGGGCCACCCTTTCCTCTGGTGGGAAAACCGTGCATCCTGGCTCAGCCGACAGGTGGCGCTGGGACCCAGCACCAGGTCCCTGTCTGTGTGGCACACACTCCGGGTTCAGGCGGCCCAGGGCAGAAGCAGCCAGGTGTTCCCGCCTTCCTCCACGGAGGCCCCTCCCTCTGCCGCAGGGATGGGGAGGTCGGCAGCCAGCTCAGCCGGGCCTCGCGAGGAGTCTCCTGTGGCCGCCCGGACCGGAGCCCGTGGCGTGCTCCGCCCACCCGCCTGCCCGCCGAGTTTGACCCCAGGTCAGAGCCGCGCTGTGGCCACACCGGGCTCAGGCCGCCCGCGTGGGCTGTGACTGCAGTGCCTCCCGGCCCGGAGCCCACGTGCGGTCTGACCAGGGTCTCAGCGGGGGCAGCACCGGGTGCCTGAAGCCCGAGGCTTTGCTGCGCCGACAGGTACAGAAGGTCCAGCCCACCGAGGACACGAGTGGACCGAGTGTGCTTTACTTGAGGTGGGGCTGGGGAGCCTGAGTCTTCGCTCAGAATGTTCCGGAAGGGCGGTATCCGACACGGCCGCTGGCCCAGCGGGGCTGAGGGCTGTACCGGGCCGCATCCCGCACTGCCTCCCCCCTAAGGAAAAGGCCGGTCAGCGGGTGCCCCGCGCTGCAGGCCGGACGGCACGGGCACCGGGACCCGGAGGTGCTGGTCTTCTGGGGCCGCAGTGGGAGGCTCCTGGGCAGAGCAGGGCAGCCTGGCCGCCTCCAGGCTCTGCAGCACCCTCTCCGCGTAAGAGACCAGCTCCTGGGAGGGGGGAGGAGGGGAGGGCCCGTCTCAGCTCCACAGCAGTGTCTGAGTCCTTGCCTTTGAAAGCTGATGGCTGCCGAACAGGCAGGAGGTGCTGCCGCCCGCAGAAGCCCCATGGGGCTCCTGGCCTGGTGGTGGCAGAGGGGGAGGGTGGAAACCTGGTTCCCCGAGCGCTGCCCGCACTCACCAGGCTGGAGGTGAAGCGATCCTTGATCTCGTGGACCAGGGACTGGATGCCGCTGGACACCAGCTCACACAGCGTGTCCGCTGTGGGCAGGGAGGGTCCTGAGGCCAGGCCTTCTCCCTCCGGAGCCCCTCCCAGCCGAGCCGGCCCGCACCCCCAGCTCAGGCATTCCGAGGCGGCTGGCAGGACTGGCTGGGCCCCAGCCTACTGAAGCTTAGCACAGACACCCGACCTGGGGCTCAGGGGCTGGCACCTGCCAGCCTGGCACATGGCGGGCACTCGGTCGTGTGAATGGGACATCGCAGGGGGAGCCGGGAGCAGGGGGGCGGGTGCTCACGGTAGGAGGCCAGGTGGACCAGCAGCAGGCACACGTTCTCTGCCACCTCCGGGTGGTCCTTGTACAGCTCATATGTGTCCTTGATGAGGCTGAGGCCGCTGCCCTTCTCCTCGGGCACCACCACCCGCAGCGCCGCCAGCTCTGGGGGGTAGGGGGCGGGGAGGCAGGACGGGGGGGGGGTAGGGGGCGGGGAGGCAGGATGGGGCTCATTCCCTGAAGCCCCGTGTCCTCTGGGAAATGGGGTGAGCGTGGGACCTCAGCCTTGGCTTCCTGCAGCCAGGGCTCCTAGGGCAGTGTCCCCGCAAAGCTTGTGAGGCGGGCCCGGCTGTTTCCTAGTGGGGAGGGCATGGGGGTGCTCCATGCACCCCACGTCAGGGGTCAGCCTGTGTGAGCAGTGACCTGGGGACACAGCCAGCAGGTGCCAAGACACCCCTCACCCGACTCTCTCACTGGGGTCCTGTCCTCCGGGCTGGGACAGCCCTGCTTGTGAGCGGAGCCGAGTCCCTCCCGCCCCCGGCACCTCAGCCTCCCGCAGAGGGAGGGTCCTGGCAGCCCCCTCCCAGCAGTAAGGCCCCGCCTTCAGGCCCAGGCGGCCGCTCACCCGACACCTTGGCGAGGCTGGCCAGCCCCCGGCAGGCGTTGTTCACCAGCAAGACGCGGTCCTGGCACAGCCGGAGGCTTCGCAGGAAGAGCACCACCACCTCCTCCAGCAGGTGCTCCTCTATGCAGCCTGCGGGGGGCGGGGCGGGGGTCATCACCACCCAGGCACAGGCACCCAGCCCCGGCCCGGGCCCTCACCCAGCAAGGACAGCAGCCAGAGGACCGCGCAGCCGGACTCCGCCATCTCCGTGTCCTGCGGGTAGGCAGCCAGCAGCCCCGCGATGAGGCCCGGGGCCTTCTCCAGGGGCACCTTGTCCGTGATGTCCGCTGGAACCAGGACGGGGAGGATGGGGTGCCGGGCTGCGACACGGGCCCCTGACTCCACCCACCAACCCTGACACAAAAAGGGGGGAGAGGCCAGGTGGCCGAGGTGGGGGTCTCAGCGCCCTGGGGGTTGCTTGGGGACTTGTGCCCTGGGTGTGAGCGGGCTCTCCATGTGAGGAGCGTTTCCGTGGGCAGAACTATGCCCAGGTGCTGCTGGGCCTCGGTTCCTTCCCTGGATCAAAAATGATGGCTCAGTGGCTGAGCGCCAACCTAGGGACCAGGTCACAGGCCCAGGTTGCGGGCTCCATCCCAGTGTGTTGCATGCAGGAGGCAGCTGGTCAGTGATTCTCCTTATTGATGTTTCTCTCCCTCTTCCTCTGAAATGAATAAAAATATGTTTAAAAAGTAAAAAAGTGAGGCCAGGATGCCACAGCCCAGCCAAGTTCTGACGGCAGGGTTGTTGGGGCGTGGGTCTGCTCCGGGCTCTCGGGAGGCCTCACGGGCCAGCTCGCCCTGAGGGGCGTGAGGGGCGGGCGAGGGCCTCACCGTCCACCAGCAGCACCCAGAGCAGGCTCAGGCCGGCCATGCAGACTTCCCTGTTGCCGGAGCAGGAGTCCAGGTGCTCCAGGATGTGCGTGAACAGCCCCTCCTTCTGCAGCTCCTCCGAGTCGCACCCTGTGGGGCCGGGATGCGGGCCATGGAGCCCGGGCTCATCACCACCTGGGCCCAGACCACCCCCAGCCCAGAGGCCACCTCCATTCCCCTCTGCAGCCCGGCCGAGGGGACTTCCCTTCCAAGGACCAGCCCTGCCCGGGGCCCAGCGCGGCCCGTCCTCAGGTGGCACTCTCCCCCGTGGCCTGGCACTCAGCGTGCCCGAGCTCTGATGAGCTCCCGTGTGCCCGTGCACAGCGCCTGCTCCTCCTCAAGCGGGTCCTCCAGTCAGTCACCCAGAACCCAGCCGCCAGGAGGCGGCCCAGACCCGGAGGGGCTGCGAGGCCCTGGGGTGCCCTGCCTGCCTGGCCGGCGGCCCCAGGAGCCCGGAGCCTGTGAAGGGGGTGAACAAGGCTTGATGAGAAACGGACTTGGGCGTGAAGCCCTGGCCAGGGCCCTGCACGTTTGAGGGACGAGAGGAAGGACGAGCGAGGAAAACGGACCGAAGGCCGGGCAGCCGCCAGGACCCACCCTGGCTGCAGACGATGGTGAGGAGGCTGTAGGCCATGACCAGGAGCTGCTGGGCCTCGGGGTGGCTCCGCACGGCGCTCAGCAGGACGGAGGTGATGGAGCCGCCCTTCCGCACGGTGGCGGCCGGGTCCTGCGCCAGGGCTGCGGGCCGATGGGAGGGCCAGGTTACCCCAGAGCTGGAGCGGCAGCGGGCAGGCACGTCCCCCCTCGCTGTGTGTGAGGGCAGAGTGGGTCCCCGTGAGGGCTGTGGCGAGGGGCTGAAGGCCGCGGGGGTGGGAGCCTGCGCAGCGTCCTGAGACCCGGCCCCCGCGCCCGTGCCCCACCTTGGCCCAGGGTGCGCAGCAGCAGGGCGCAGGCGCACAGCTGGATGTCCAGGAGCCTCTCGTGGTTCTTCATGATGGTGACCAGCACGGCCACCACCTTCATGGGCCACGGCAGACCTGCCAGGGCGGGTGCGAGGGGACACTTGGCAGAGGAGCAGGGGTGAGGCCACGGACAGGACCGGCACCAGGCAGTGCTGGCATCACGCCTGGGCCGGGTGCCGAGTGCTTGCCGTGTGGCCCTGAGGTCTCCCTGCGGCCACCCTCACCCCAGGAGGCGCTGCGCTGTGACCAGCCTGCCCGCTCAGCCCTGGCTGGACCTGCCCTGAGAGGCGTCTGGGTCCCCGGCTTTCCTGTGCGGCACATCCGTGCACCGGCCGGGGAGAGGAGGGCAGCAGCCCGCCCGCTAGACGGGGGAGTAACAAGGACTGAACTCCGGTGCCCAAGGTCGAGGGGGAAACAGACCAAAGGCAGTGCCAGCGCCTGGAGCAGGCTCAGCCTGCCAGCCCGGCCCCCGCCCGGCCGTCTCCAGACATGGCCGCGGCCGGAAAGGCTGCTGTGGGAAGGGGCAAATCCTCCCTCCCCTCCCTCCCAGACTCAGACTGTCCTGGCCGCAGCCTGGCTGAGAGGGGGGGGAGAGGGAGGGAGAGGTAAACCACCAATATGGGGCCTCTGCCGCCTCATTGCAGGCAGGACGGGCCTGTCATCGCCAATGCCCCAGCCATGGGACAGGCCTCTGGAGGGAGGGATGGTGGACAGATGGACATGGGTGGATGGACAGATGGATGAACAGATGGATAGATGAGTGGGTGGATGGATGGACAGATGGTTGATGGATAAATCGGTGGGTGGGTGGGTGTATAAATAAGTGAATGAAATTTTCCAACTGGTGTGTTGAGTGGATAGATTGTATGAAAGCATTTTGGGCAGAATTTTAGAAATTGATAGTAATTGGTGGAGAGAGTGGGGAGCACACTTGGGAGGGGGTGCGTCTGTGAAAACGGCCGGCACCTGGGAGCGGGCCTCTCCGGGGTGCGGTGCTGTCTGGGACCTGTGCGGTGGCGGCGGCAGCCACGTCGCCCGGCACAGAGATGGGGGGACGCGGGCGCTTCAGCTACCACTACCAGCGGGCGACGCCTGGAGCCACGCCACCCCGCCCGCCCCACAGACGGCAGCCGCCTGACCCCGCAGGTCCGAGACCTGCCCGCCCTGCCATGTGGCTGTTGGCTGCAGCGTCGCCCCATACCCAAGGTTGTGGGTTCAGTCCCTTGCTGGGGTGCATGCAGGAAGCAACTGATGATGTTTCTCTCATCAATGTTTCTTTCTCTCCCCCAACCCTCCCCCTCAAATCAATAATAAAGCCTGGCTGGTATGGCCAGTGGTTGAGCATCGACCTGTGAACCAGGAGGCCACAGTTCGATTCCCGGTCAGGGCACATGTCTGTTTTTCAGGCTTGAGCCCCCCATAGGGGGTGTGCAGGAGGCAGCCAATTGATCATTCTTCCATCTCTTCCTCAATCAATAAAAATACATATCTTTTAAAAAGTTTAATTAAAATGAGAAGACACAGCCTCCGGGGTGAGGGGCCTGCGAGCTGGAGAGCTTGGGGGGGGACAGCAGAGGGGTCTCTACCTAGCTGGTCGTCGGACATTCTCAGCAGCCTGTCCAGGACCCTGATCTGGACCTCCGGCCGGCTGGGGAAGTTCTGCATGATCTCTGCGGGGACAGGAGAGCGTGGGGCACCTGCACCCCCTGGGCCAGCTCAGGCCCCCGGCGGCAGCACCCCTCACTGCTCCCGGGCGAGGCCAGGCCGCAGTCCTCTGCCTTTGGGACCGAACAAGCAATCCCGCCCGGAAGCGCCGAGGCCCGAGGAGGCTGCAGACCCTGAGCTCATGCTGACGGAGCCCAGGGAGCCCAGCCACCCCCGCCTGGGCACCGCGTGGGCCCCTCGGCGCCTGCTTCTCGGGAGGGAGGGAGGGAGGGAGGCGCCGGGCCCCTTGGCAAGTGGGTGAGGGGCTTCACCGGCCTGGCGTAGCCTCGAAGGCCGTGCCATGAGACGGGGGGACGGCAGCTAGTGCCTGGGGGTGCCCCCCCCCCCCCGCGCCCAGTCCCCAGAAATGGGGCAGACTTGGCGGGCGGAGTGCGGGTCCCTGTCACAGGCAGAGCCACAGAGGACGAGGGCTGCGGGGGCTGCCTGGAACGGGAGGTGCTCTCCAGACCTCAGGCGGAGCTCACAGGTGCCGGTCACCGTGCTGGGAGCCCCAGGGCGCCCCGGCCTGCCAGCACCGGCAGAGCGCGGCACAGGCTGTGTGTGTGTGTGTGTGTGGTGGGGGGGAGCAGCCCTGGGCCCAGTGACCGGATGACCGTCCTGAAGTGCCCAGTCACAGAGCCCCACGCTTTCTCCCTGCAGGGACCGCCTGCGGGGCCAGAGGCCTGGCCACAGCCACCACGCAGGACACTGCTGAGCTGGGGGCGTGGGGTGGGTGCGGAGGCAGATGCAGGAGGGCATTCCGCCGCAGTGGGCCGAGGGGAACGGGGCGGGGCGGGGGGCGCTCGGTGGGCGATGGCAGCTGGGAGGGGGTGCACGGGCAGCACCCCAGCGAAGCGCCCTGCCCCAGTGGAGGGGCTGTCGGAGGCTCCTACACGCCAGCCGCAGGGGAGCCGTCCAGGGGCTGGGGGTGGGGCTGACACAGGGGAGGGGTCCAGGGGGGTGCAGGGGGGGCTGACACGGGAGCGGTCCAGGGGCTGGGGGTGGGGCTGACAAGGGGAGCGGTCCAGGGGCGGGGGGGGGGGCTGACACAGGGGAGGGGTCCGGGGGGTGCAGGGGGGCTGACACAGGGGAGCGGTCCAGGGGCTGGGGGTGGGGCTGACAAGGGGAGCGGTCCAGGGGCTGGGGGTGGGGCTGACACAGGGGAGGGGTCCGGGGGGTGCAGGGGGGGCTGACACAGGGGAGCGGTCCAGGGGCTGGGGGTGGGGCTGACAAGGGGAGCGGTCCAGGGGCTGGGGGTGGGGCTGACAAGGGGAGCGGTCCAGGGGCTGGGGGTGGGGCTGACACAGGGGAGCCGTCCGGGGGCTGGGGGTGGGGCTGACACAGGGGAGGGGTCCGGGGGGTGCAGGGGGGGCTGACACAGGGGAGCGGTCCAGGGGCTGGGGGTGGGGCTGACACAGGGTGCCCTCCCGCCTGGGCCCCCGCGTCACCTAGAATGCGGGCCACACAGCCTTCGGAGAGGATGGCGGAGATGAAGGCGGGCACGTCCCGCTGGTGCATCAGCAGGGACACGCTGGTGGGCCTGAAGTCGCTGCTCAGCAGGGTGAGCTGGGCCACCTCCCTGGGGGGACGCCGGGCTGAGCGGGCTCTCCCGGACGGCCCGGCCCGCCTTCCCGTTAGCACTCTCCGTCCCGGGCGCCCAGCTGGCACCCGCAGCCCCTCCTCCAGCTGCAGGGAGGCTGAGTCCTGGCACTGCGCCCGGGGGGGGGGGGGGCCCCGTCCTCCACCAACAGAGACAAACGTCAGATCTGGCTACTGCGGTGGCAAAGGCGGCTGTGACCCAGGCTGGCCCACCGACACGGCTCACTTTCTCCCTCTGGCTTTAAACCAGAGCCAGCACCGTTCCTGTCCAGGGCTGTGCCCTCACCTGAGGCGAAGCCAGCCGTCTGTTTGGAGACCATGGGGGGCAGGCGGGGGCATGGAGGGGAGAGACGGGAGCGGAGAGAGAAACGGAGAGCCCAGTGCAGCCCCGACCCCGCTCACTGGACGGTGATCCGCTCCGCAGGCTCCACCTGCAGCATCCGGGGCAGGAGGGCGCTGAAGATCCGGGCGTGCGGCACCCGCCTCTCCTCCATGGTCCGCAGCGCGGCCCCCAGGGCGCTGGGGAGGCTCCGGACGGACTTGCGCAGCAGCATGGCCTCCGTGGCCTGGGGACGCACCGCGCCCGCCCGAGGGTCAGGCCGGCCGGCCGGGCCGGGAGCGCAGGGGGGCTGGGCCGCCACCTCCAGCGCCGCCCAGAGGCCAGCTGGGCCAGACCTTCTGGAAGGTGCGCAGGCCCAGAGCAGCCAGGGGCCTCTCGCTGGGCAGAGGGAGAGGGGTCCCTCCTTCCCGCTCACAGCTGAGCCGCACCCGCTGGGCGGGCCCGTGGGCGACACGCAGCCTGTGCTCAGGCCCCGCAGACCCAGGTCCCGCTGGAGCCACAGGCACCCTCACCTGGGGCAGGGCCAGAGCACAGCGACACCCCACTGTGCCGCTCTCATCCGTAGGACAGTGAGAACCCTGGGCCCGCAGTGATTTAAATATCACCATCCCGTCGTCATTGCCCACTGGCCAGTGCTGAGTGCAGGGAGTGCTCCCCCCCCCACCCACCCGTGGCAGCTGGGGCAGGAGGCGGCGAAGGGAGGAGGAGGAGGAGGGGGAGGAGGAGGAGGAGTGGGGCCTCGGGGGAGGCACTCAGGGCCGGCTCCACGCGCCTGCCGCGGGCGTGGGGCATCGTGGGCTGCGGGGGTCAGCGCGCTGGCTCACCCCGGTGAAGGAGCAGCTGACCATGTCCAGGATGATGCAGCCCAGGGACCAGATGTCGGCCTTCTGGCTGAAGGAGAAGCGCAGGGCCTCGGGGGCCATCCAGGACTTCTGACAGGGGTCTGCGGGCGGGGGCGGGGCGGGGGTGAGCCTGTGCTCGCTGGGGGAGCAGCTGGACATGAGGCCTTCGCCCGCTCTGAGGGGGACAGCTCTCTGTCCGGGGCTGGCCCACGGGGCTGCAGGGTCCCGAGGCTAAAATCTCCCTCTTTAAACAGCTGTCCCTTTAAACTCAGCACCGGAGGCACAGCTCCAGCTGTCCCCTTGTTCCTACGCCTGAGCCCCGACAAGGAGCCAACTGAGCAGGGTCCTCCGGCCAGCGGTCAGGTCTGGCGAGGTCCCAGCCATCGCTGCCTCTCTGAACTTCCTTCCCCAGCCAAGCAGCAGGGGTGGGCTCCAAGGCCCCTGCTGTCTATCCATAAATCCACCCCCACCCCCACCCCCCACCGATCCATCCATTCACCTGTCTACCCAGCCATCTATCCATCCACTCATCCATCACCCAACCATCCACCATCCATCCACTCACCTGTCTACCCAGTCATCTATCCATCCACTCATCCATCACCCAACCATCCACCATCCATCCACTCACCTGTCTACCCACCCACCCATCCATCCACTTATCCACCACCCACCCGTTCACCTGTCTATCCACTCATCCACCACCCACCCATCCACTCACCCATCCACTCACCTCTCCACCCACCCATCCACTCACCTATCCACCCACCCACCCATTCACCTGTCTACCCACCCACCCATCACTCATCCATTCACCTGTCTACCCACCTACCCTCCCATCCACTTATCTACCACCTACCCATCCACTCACCTGTCTACTCACCCACCCACCCACCCATTCACTCATTCACTACCCATCCATCCACCTGTCTATCCACCCATCTATTCACCTGTCCATCTACCCATCCATCCACCCATCCATTCACCTGTTTACCTGTCCATCTATCCACCTATCCATTCTTCTGTCCATCTATCCACCTGTTTTTTTCATTCATCCATCCACCCACCTACCCGTCCACCTTTCTACCCACTCACCTACCTATCCGTCTATTCACCTGTCCATCCATCTACCTGTCCATCCACCCACCCACCCACCTGTCCACTACCCACCTATCTACCCACCCATCAGTTCACCTGTCCATCCATCCATCCATCCTCTGTGCACCAAGGACCGGAGGCCAGTGCAGCAGCACCGGACAGCCCAGCACTCGGGAGTTGTGCCCTGTGGCGTTCCCTCGGGCCCTGACCTGTTAGGGGCTGGAGGCCTGGGCCCTTTCAGAGGAAGGAGAGCTCGTGTCGCCTACCCCTCCTCCGCCACCGCCTGGGATCCACTGGGACTCTGTGAAGTGACTCATCCCTAGCAGTGCCTGGCCCACACCAGGCTCCCACCTCGGCCTGCCAGTCCCCTTCCCTCTCCCTCCATGGAGGTTAACGTTTTCTGGGTGTCTGGGCACGGAGGGACGCCTGCTCAGTACAGCCCTGCAGCGGGGGCTCGCCAGTCTCCTCGCCCAGGCCGGGCCTGTGGGCACCTCCTGAGCAAGCACAGGTGTGATGTCACCTCGTTCCGGCGCCCGGAGTGGCACCGCCCTCTGGACTCCGGGAGCAAGGAGCTTCCGGCGAACGGCCCCTCCCCCACGGCCTCCCGCCACCTCGGTCCCCTGGGCCCCGGGCACCTTCCTCCGCCCGGATGTTCCACTTGGCCTTGTGGGTCATCAGCGCGTCACAGCTCAGGTCCTGCAGTTTGCAGTGGTTGGTGCCCACCAGGGCGATGTTGGAGGGCTTGAGGTTCCTGAAACCAAGGGCACACCTTTGCACCCGCCCGGGGCCAGCGTGCACCCTGGACCTTACCTCCTGCCCCACCCGGTTCTGCAGAGGCAGCCCACACCCCCTCTTCCATGAATGCCCCCTGGGCGGCCACTTTTAAATACTGTCTTCCAGACGGAAAATACAGCCGGCTGTTTTAAATTTTAAAAAAACAAACAGAAAACCAAGCCAAGCACAGGGAGACACCGCCGTCCTGGGCTCCTCCACACGGGAGCTGCGCCGCTGCCTGGGGGCTGCCTCTGCCTGGGGGCTGCCTCTGCCTGGGGGCTGCCCGCGGGACGGCCTCCGGCACGGACACTGAGCCGGAGCTCGCCCCTCGCCCCCGCAGCCCTCGTGTGCCCCTCTCCTCCCGGACACATGACCGCTGAAGCCGTTCCCAGCCCCTCCGGCCTCGGATCGGAGCCGGCCGCCCGGCCAGAGGCCACAGCTAATCTCCGTCCGGTGTGTTATCTGCTCGCTCTCCTTGTACTTTAGAACCAGCCGCCAAGTCAGCTCACTTCAGGAGCCGCGTGGCGAGGGTGAATCAGCACAGGGCGGGCGGGGGGGGGGGGGGGGGGGCTCGCCCGTCTGGAGGGAGAGCTGCGGCCACGGCCGCACCCCACGCCCTGGGTTCCGCCTCGGGCGCTGACTCCGCGGGTACGTGGGGACGCGGGCCGGTCACCTGTGGATGATGTCCAGCCGGTGCAGGTAGCCCAGGGCGTCCAGCACCTGGCCCAGCATGTTCTGCATCCACTGCGGAGAGAGAGGCGGGACTGGAGGGGCGGCCGCGCCCCGGGGCCCTGCAGCAGCTGGGGGTCTGCAGGACCGCTGCACCCCGTCTCTTGTCCTGAGACCGGCCTGGAGCTGGCCAGGCCCAGAGCCTGTGCGAGAGGCTCCGCCTCAGGCTCCCGAGACCATAAACCATGCGCGCCAGGGCGACGCCCAGCGCCCAGACCCTGCACCCCTGTCTCCACGGGGACCCTGCGCCTGCACTCCGGCCCCGCACCCACCCTGCGGGCCACAGAGAGGGTCCAGTCTTCAGTGCCTGTGTCTGTAGAAGGAAAAGAGCCCTGGCAGAGAACGTTCTGGAAGCAGTTTGTGTCAGAAACAAGATCCAGCTAGCTGCCAGGGCAGTGTCTCTCAAACCGTGTTCCCAGGAAGCCTGGGTCCCCCGGGGCATCAGAGAGAGGCTGTGCGGGACCGGCTTCCTCTCGCACGCCCGTCTGCCTTGTCCCTGGTGACGTGGGTCCGCTTTCCTCCCGGGGTTTCTGAGGACATTTTCTGCTTCGAAGGGTCCCGCCTCCCACAGAAGGTCTGAGACCCTCCAGGCCACCCTCGGAGGCCGTGGGTGAGGAGGTGGACGGTGGGGAGGCCCACCGAGCAGAGGGGTGCTCAGAGCCCAAGGAGGCCCGGTCACCTGGGGGTCCCAGCCGGGGACAGCACGCCGGCCCTGGGGCGGGAGAGGCGTGTCCATGGCACCCAAGGGGCTGAGGCGAGCGGCCTCCTGACAGCCAGGGACGCTGTTCACTGCTGTCGGGAGTCCAGCCTGAGGAGCCTGGGCCGCCCGGGAGGGGCTCAGACAGGAGGGGACCACCGAGGCGGGTCCAGCTGCGCCCTCGCCTGCACAGACAGCAGGTTCCCGGCGGCAGAAGGTGCTCACGAAGTACCCGTCACCACGAACGCAAGAGTCACTCTCCAGGAGCCAGCTCAGGGGCGAGCGTCAACCTCTGAACCAGGAGGTCACGGTTCGATTCCCAGTCGGGGCACGTGCAGGGTTGCAGGCTGGATCCCCACGTGGGACGTGCAGGAGGCAGCCGCTTCATGATTCTCTCTCGCCATTGATGTTTCCATCTCTCTCCCTCTCCCTTCCTCTCTGAAATCAATACAAACATATGTAAAAATAAATAAATACGTTTTTTAAAAAGGATGAGGGGAGGGCTGGCACACTGCAGCTGGCCTGCTCACGGGGCCAGTGAACCCCCGCCCACCAAGCGGGTCGCAGCCCGGGGATGTGAGCTGAGGCTGCGCACACCTGCTCCAACCCCACCACTCCACGCCCGGAGCTTGGCCAGGAAGCACGAACGTCTCGGTCCCCGAAAAAGCACCCAGCACCGCCCGTGGCTGCTGTCACCATGGTCCCACCTGGAAACAACCCAACGCTCCCCGCGCTGGGCCGGACGCAGCAGCGCCCGCCGCGGGGAGGGACAGCGTGGCTGTGGCTCAGCGGCTCGGGATGAGCATGCAAAACCAGGTGCAGATGAGGACACGCTGCAGGAGGACACGGCGGGGCCTGCGGGGCCTGCGGGCCGGCAGGAGGTGGGCCACGGCTCCAGCCGCCCGGGGCCTCTTGGCGTGGCCCGGCCCCGGCCCAGAGGCCGTGCGGCCCGTGCACACACCCAGCTGCGTGCGGGTGGGTGCGGGTGGGTGCGGGTGGGTGCGGGTGGGTGAGGGTGGGTGCGGGTGGGTGCGGGTGGGTGCGCGTGGCAGCGGCACACACCTCCACGCGGGACGTGAGAAAAGGGACGGCCAGACCCCAGCCTCCCCCGTGCCCACGGCCGTGGGGCTGTGACGTCACGAGGCGGGCGGGCCCGGGCTGGCGTCTCACCTCCGAGTCAATGATGCTCCTCTTCTCCCTCGCCCTCTCGATGACCTTCTGGAAGCTTCCCTTGTTTTAGTCCATCACCAGGCAGAGGAACAAGGAGGAGGTCTGCGGGGACGCAGCTCCCTTAGGCGGGGGCCGCAGCTCCACCCAGCGCCCGGCAGCCGGGCGCCCGGCACAGCCCCACCGCGGGGCGCCTCACCCCGCGCGGCTCCCTCCGCACGTGGACTTTCCGGAGGCCGCTCACGCGGGTGCTGGGCCGGCACGTCGCCCGCCCCAGGCTCGGCTCACCCCGTCTCCTCCTCCAGGGGGCCTGCCCCCGAGGCCGCAGGTCGGACTTCAGGGCCCTGCTTTCCCGCCCGCGGTGGAAGGTCCTCTTGCTCTTCCGCGTCTCCTTAAGCGCAGTAGGGGCGCTCGGGAAGTGCTTTGGGGTGATGACCGCTCCCCAAGGTTTCCCTCGGGGCCAGTGCGAGGGGGACCCTCCACTCCCGCTCACACCCCTGGCTGTCAGCCCCAATGGGGACACTCGTGGGGACGCGATTGGGGCGACTCAGCGAGAGGCCGGGCAGCCTGCACACCGCCCTCAGGGGGCGACGCAGGGGGGCGGCTGGGGCTGCGGGACGAGTCAGCGAGGCCTCCCTCCCCGCTGGCTGGGCCACAGCCCGGGCGGGACACTTGTCTCTCAGCCTCTGTGTCTTCTGTGAGCTGGGCTAACGCCCCTGTCCCCGCTGAGGCTGTGGGGCCCTGAGATGGTGCCAGCGAACCCCGGGTGGCCCCGTAAGTGCCGAGGGAGGGGTCGCTGCATGTAGGGTCGCTGCCACAGACCCCCGGGGCCCACGGTTCCGGAGCCGCTGCCCACCTGGCCGTTCCATATGATGAACATCTCGTGGTAGATGGAGACGTGGGCATGCCGGAGCTGCAGCAGCGGCATCAGCTGCGGGCAGAGGCGGGGGGTCAGGGGCCCTGGTTCCCGGTCAGGGCTGCCCAGGCCCATTTCCCAACAAACACGCAGGGCACCAGGCAAGCGAGCAGCGAGCTGGGGTGGGAGCCACAGGGTCCGGAGTGGGTCCCGGCTCTGCAGGCTGTGCTGTGTGACAGAGGCGCAGTGCCACAACCTCTCTGAGCCTCCTCGCCTCGCCTGGAAATGGCGGTAACAGTGCATCTGCCTCCGGGTGTCATGAGGCACAGTGCTTGGCGGGAGGACAGAGCACAGGCAGGGACGGCGGGAGAAGGTGGTGGGGCCAAGGGAGGGGTCACCAATGTGCCCACACCGCCTCACCCCTGGTCCTGTGCCCGTCCCGCTGGCAGCGCCTGGGGAGGAAGGCAGCAGGCGGCAGACTGGCCGCCTCAGTGGCTGAGCCCAGGCCAGGGCTCCCGTGGAGGCTGGTGTGGGAGCAGGCACCCGGGGCACGGAGAGGAGGGACCGCGAGGAGCTGTGAGGGTGGGGGCCTCAGTGCTTTCTCTCCTGTCAGAACGGGGCCTGGGCCTCCCTGCACATCCTGGCTGCTCCTGGGTTTAGCAGTGAGTCTTTGGCGACCACCTCCTGCCATTGGGGGATGATGGGGGCGGCGCGCTTCTGGCTGCACAGCCCGAGGCAAACTCTGGATTGACCCTCCTGCCCGCCCAGCGCCTGCACAGGAGGCACCAAGCACCCTCTGGTGCTGCATCATGTCCTCCAGGGGGCGCCACCTAGAGTTACCTCATCCAGGGCCTGGTTGGCATGATGATCGTCAATGCATTCCACCTGCAGAGGCATCAGAGGACGGGCTCAGTAAGCGCGTGGTAAGCCATCACCATTATCACCACCATGAACACTGCCACCATCACCACCACCACCATCACCATCACCACCACCAACACCATCACCATCTCCACCACCACCACCACCACCACCACCACCACCACCATCACCATCTCCACCTCCACCACCACCACCACCACCACTAACATCACCATCACCATCACCATCTCCACCTCCACCACCATCACCACCACCACCACCATCACCACCACCACCACCACCACCACCACCATCACCATCTCCACCACCACCACCACCAACAACAACAACATCACCATCTTCACCTCCACCACCATCACCATCACCATCTCCACCTCCTCCACCACCACCACCACCACCACCACCATCATCACCACCATCACCACCGGGAAGGCGGGCCATCACCGCACCGGGAAGGCGGGCCATCACCGCACTGGGGCCGGCTGAACGCATGGGGAGAGGGAGGGTGCGGGAAGGGCAGCAGCTTCGGGTCTGCAACATGCTTGGTGGCAGGTAGATGCAACCAGCAGGTCTGCAGGCAGGTCCGTACCCGGGGTGTGTGTCTGCCCACAAGACGCACAAAGATCCCTAAGGGGGGGCCTGTGTGATACCATCAGCAACGAATTAACAACAATAATAACAAGCTAACTATTATAAAACCAACCACTCAGGTACTAACAACAAACAACCAAACAGAAAGTGGGATCTCTGTGACCGGTGAGCGCAGACGAAGCTGCAGTCAGAGGTCACTCCCTGCGCCGGGAGACCTGCTCGGGCCCAGCGTGCCGCCCGCCCGCCCGCCTCCCTGCTCCGGGCGGTGCCACACAGGCCGGACGCCTTAAAAATGTGGCATCTTCTGTCCTAGACATCCCCCCCTCCGGGCATTTACCCCAGGGACATCATGGACCCGCCAGTAACGGAGCCATAAGCTGTTTATCAGAGTCGACTGTACGGAGTGAACTTGTGGCACTTGAGGGGAGCCTGGGGTGGCGGGCGGTCCACATGGGCGGGCGCAGAGGAGGAGGAGGCTGTGCGGGCAGGAATGCCAGCCCCGCCCCGTGCAGTGTCAGTGCTGGGAGAGGCCGCAGCTCACAGCCCCCCTCCACCCTCTGTGGTGGTGGGTCCCCGCCCGAGCACAGATTTTTCCACTGAGAGTTCGGAAGAGTGGCAGGGAGGGCAGAGGGAGGAAAACCCAGATGTGACAGAGACACACTGATTGGTTGTCTCCTGCACGTGCTTGACCCGCCGGGACTGAGCCTGCAACTGAGGTGCATGCCCTTGACCGGAACTGAACCCACGACCCTTCAGTCCACGGTCCAACATTGCAACCACTGAGCAAAATGGGTTAGGGCCTTTTTTAAAAAGAAAGACTGACTGACTTTTTAAACAGCTCCTGGACTGCCCAGAAGGCAGGTCGCCCTGCCCCTGGGTCTGGGAGACAATGAGGCTGCCCGCGATGGAGCAGGAAGTAGGTGAGGACGCCAGGCCCAGCCCCTCGGGTAGAGTGGGTCTCGGTGCTGCCCACAGATGGGGGGTTGGGGGGGGCTGGCAGAGCAGAGGGCTCCCCACCTGCAGGGGCAGCCCTGATCCCAGGGTATCCCGGCCGGCACCCAGGACCACCGGGGTGTGCCAGCTCTCTCCCCCGGACCCTGGTTCACCTGGACGATGCGGGTTGGACATGCAAAGGGCTGCCCCGTCGGGTCTGCATCCGCACTGCCAGCCATGCCAGCCTGGTGCCCTGCCCTCAGCCTGGGCCCAGTGAGTGCGCCTGCTCTGAGCCGCCTGTGTGGGCAGGCGGCCCCGCCTCCCGGAGTCCCTCCCCGGCTGTGGAGGGCAGGCCGGCTCCTGCTTCGCTGGGCTGGGCCGCGGGAGGCTAGCGGAGACGATGCCGCACTGCACAAGCGGTAGGTGAGGCTGTGGTTGTTGTCGGAGTAAAAGTGACATTTCTTTTCCATCGAGGTGAGTCACACGTGTGGGGAAGCTTGAGGCGCCCCGGCCACCCCGCGTCCGGCCCCCTGACCAGATCTGCCCGCGGCTGCAGGCAGAGAGGAGCCGGCGGTGGGGGTGGCATCAGAAAGAGTCCTCTAACCTGGGGGTGATGAGCGGATGTGTGGGGACACCCCCGCCCCCCCCCCCCGTGCCAGGGGCGTGGCCTCTTACCTGCTTTATCACGAACTTGACTTTGGTTTCTTTCTCCCTCACCACCAGGTTCACCCCCAAGGCCCCAGGACTCAGCTCGTCCAAAATCTGCCGGTGAAAGGAGAGAAGCTTTCAGGAAATGCCCCCAGCTTTCCGCTCCCCGCAGTGCGCCCGGCTCCTGAGCCGCCTGGCGCCCCCCAGCCTCCCTCCGGACACAGCTGGCACCTCTGCCCGCCCTGCAGACACAGGAGGCCCCGGTAGGCCTGGCAGCCCTCGGAAGTGGCTCCAAGCCCATCTCCCCCCCACCGCTGTCTCCAGTTCGCAGCAAGAGCCAGCACAGGGTGGTGTTCCCTCTCTCTACCCGCCTCTGATACCCCGCTTCCAGCACCCACCGCCAAACTGGGCATCCAGACAGTAAAGTAACTGGTGCAATCATGCCTGTGGCTGACACTGTGCTGCGCACCCTCCCTGAGGCCACCCCCCGGCTCTCTCCGTTCACAGCGGAGGAAACAGGCACAGGGAGCGAGGTCCTCACCTGAGGCCCAGCATTAACAACGGAGGTGGCCCGGGTGAGACTATAGCTCCAGGGTCTCCCCCAGAGCCTGTGCCTCCAGCCAGACCTGCAGCGATGGCCGCCGTGCACGCGGGGGGCGGGGGGTGGGGGTGAGGCTGGGCGGTGGAATCACAGCTGTCAGAGGATGGAGGAAGGGGGCAGGGTGCAGAGGAGAGATGTGGGGGATGGAACCCTGGGTGCAGGGACCTTTGGGGTCCAGAAAAGGTGTAGGATTCTGTGGCCCAGCCCTGTGAGTGGTCTGAACCCCGCGCAGGGAACCCCAGGGGCGCGGTGTCCCGGGCAGTTCATGCCGCTGCAGCGACGCAGTGCTGAGGCCTCTCAGGTGGCGAATTGAGTGGTAAGACGCATCTGTGTCTCAGATCAAGGCGATATTTTATTTTATTTAACATTTTTTAATTAAATTATTATCTGTGTACATATTTCAACATTGCCCTCAAGGCGATACTTTAATTCCTCCCTGAAAAACTTTGCTTTTTAGCCTCTGGTCCCAGAAACTCCTGTGCTTCACCCCTGGCTGACTGCCTTGTGGTCCTCGCTCCCCGCCCCTCTGCTCCCCAGTGTGAGGAGAATCTAACTTACAAATTATTTTCAGGTTAACGGCGCTTTTACCAAGACCAGACCTAAGGGTTCATACAGCCGACACAGCATGCAGGGAAGCACCGAATCACGCATTCGCCTGCATTCTGCAGCTTTCCTTTTGAGACATTTCCAGGCGCTACACATTTTCTCCGGCCCAGGCCCCGTCTGCAGCGGTTCTCAGCCTTTGGGTGTCACAGGGGTCGCCTAAGACATCCTGCATATCAGATACTTACGATTCATAACAGAAGTAAAATTATGAAGTAGCAATGAAAATACTTCTATGGTTGGGGGTCACCACAACATGAACTGTATTAAAGGATCACGGCGTTAGGAAGGTTGAGAACCACTGCCCTACTGGGACTACTGACGGTGTTTTAGGGGTTTGGGGGCGCCTGATCACGAACTCTGGTTCGAGGGAGTCCTGTCTCCATGGGCCTGAGCGTGGACCCAGGGGTGAGAAGGCTGGCGTGTTCTCCACCGCGGACACGCAGACAGACAAGGCTGCAGTCCTTCATTCCACCCTTCATTTCAGACAGTGGCCAACAGGCCCAGAGGCAAAGGGCACGCACCCTGGAGATCCCCTTCGGAGGTCCCCTAAGAGATAGAGGCAGACACTGGCCGGACAATGCGTCCCTTGCCTCCCCTGGGGCTGTGACCGTTACAGGGGTTGGGGTGGTGGCCGGAGGTCCAGGTCCAGGGCTTGTCCCAGACCGCGGGCCCCTCGTCGCCCCAGCCTCCCCGCCAGGGGACAGCTCGGCACCTTGTAATTTTCCATAATGACTCCTGTTCTCCTCCCTCCGATGGGCGCCAGAGGTGCACCCCTAGCCGGCGCCCGAGGGCAGACCCTCGACTGAGCATGCTCAGTCGGGACTGCGTCTGAGTGCGCACCCCAGCCCCCACCCTGGAAACGACCCTCAGCCCCGGGTGTGTCTGCTTGGCCACGTGACCCGCCCGGCCCAAACGGTATTATCCGTAGCGTCCCTCGGCGAGCAGGCCCTCCCGGGGCCTGGCCGCTTTAAATCTCGTGGGGGTGGAGCTTGGAGCGCGGAGGGCGGGGCCTGGAGAGGCCGCCCAGTTGGGTGCGAGGTGGGCGGGGTCTACAAGCGCGGTGGGTGGAGCCTGGAGCGCGACGGGCGGGGCCTAGAGGGGCCGCCCGGTTGGATGCGAGGTGGGCGGAGTCTGGCGTTGCGGGGGCGGGGCCTACGCGTGCGGTGGTGGAGCTTGGAGCGCGCCGGGCGGTGCCACTGCGGGCCGGGCGCCGAGGCCCCTTTAAGGCGCGGCCGGGGCGGGCCCCGCGGCGCGGCCCCTTTAAGGCTTGGCCTACGTGGCAGCCGCTGGAGCCGCGGACGGGGAGCGAGGCCGGCCGGGCACTTCCTGTGGAGGCCGCAACGGGCGCGGGCGCCGACGGGCCGAACGCCGAGCGAGCGAGCGAGAGAGCGAGTGAGCCGGGCCTCCCGCCGCCGCCATGGGCCAGAACGACCTGATGGGCACGGCCGAGGACTTCGCCGACCAGGTGCGGCCCGCGGCCTCCCCCCGGCCCTCCCGCGGCCTCTGCCGGCCCCGCGCCCCCCGCCGCCGCCCGGCCCCGAGCCCGCGGGGCCGCCCGAGGCCTGGGCCGCGCCCGCAGCCTCCGACCCACCGCCGGGGTCGCGCCCCCTCCCCCAACCGCGGCCCGGCTCCCTGGCGCGCCGCCCGGCCTCCGGGACCCCCGCCCCGGCCCGGGACCCCCGGCCTCCGGGACTCCTACCCCGGCCTTCGGGACTCCTACCCCAGCCCGGGACCCCCACCCGAGCCCGGGACCCCCGCCCCAGCCCGGGACCCCCGCCCCGGCCTCCGGGACCCCCGCCCCGGCCCGGGACCCCCGGCCTCCGGGACCCCTACCCCGGCCCGGGACCCCCACCCGAGCCCGGGACCCCGCCCCGGCCTCCGGGACCCCCGCCCCGGCCCGGGACCCCCGGCCTCCGGGACTCCTACCCCGGCCTCCGGGACTCCTACCCCAGCCCGGGACCCCCGCCCCGGCCCGGGACCCCCACCCGAGCCCGGGACTCCTACCCCGGCCCGAGACCCCTACCCCGGCCCGGGACCCCCGCCCCGGCACCCCCGCCCCGGGCCCTCGCCGCGGCCGGGCGTGTTCTCGGGCCCGCTGCTCGGCGCCCCGTCCCCGCACCCGGCCGGCCTTCCTGGAAGGAGAGGCTGTGAGCCTTCGGCCGCCGCCCCCCGCCCCCCAGAAGGCGGCCCGGTGCCGGGGGCTCAGAGCGGCCTCCGTCCCGGCCGCGGGCGGGGGGAAGGGGGCCCGCACGCTCCTCGCGCGGGGGGCTCGCAGGGGGCGGCCGGGAGCTGGGTCTGGGACGGGGGTGGTCAGGCTGGAGGCCAGGGGTCCTCCGGAGGAAAGGGGGCGCCCTGGTAGGCACCCCAACTCCAGAATGCTCAGCCCTCCCCCTTTGGCTCTCCGGACGCGTGGCTCCGTGGGGTCCCTTTGACCCCGCGCTCCCTCCCTGGACTCTGCCCGGCGAACGGAGGAGCGCTATCTGCCGGGAGGAGGGGCGGCGCGTCCCTCCCCGAGGGCACCTGGCCGCTTCCCCCAGGGCCCAGCGGCCCCTGAGCCCGGGAGGCCGGCCTGGGGCCCCGGAACGCCCGGCCGGACGCACAGATCGGGTGCCGGGGTGTGTGTGTGTGTGTGTGTGTGTGTGTGTGTGTGTGGAGGGGAGAAGACAGCGCCCCCCACTTGGTCCGTTTGCCGGGCAGAAGGCGGTGGGGGCATTGGGCGCTGGGCCCGCGGCTCATGAAAGTGCCCGTTACTGTGCGATTGGCAGCCTGGTCCCGGCAGATCCGGGCGCCCCGCTGCCGTCCTTGCCCTGGTCACTTGCCATGGGTGCTGGCCTTTCGGGGTTCACAGGGGTGAGGCTCAGGCTGCACCTGCCATCGGGCTGGGGGATCTGGGGGTCCCGGGAGGCTGAGCATGTGATTTAAAAACAAAACAAAGCCAGCCAGTGTCTTGTGATCAGTGAACCCATTTCCATGGTCCCCCCAGGGGCCTCCTAATTGGGGTCACACATTTTCCTGCGACCCAGCCATTTAAAACCAATTTGGGGGGCGGAGTCTGTCAACCTGGAGAAGTAGTTTTTCCGAAGGTGGTGGTTTGTGGGTGCAGACACAGCTTAAAAACGGGGCCCCTGGCAAACGGGGTGCCAGCGAGCGAGGGCGGCCGGGACCACGGAGGCCTTTCAGTCCGTCTTCACTGACATCGTTTCACTGGCCACGGGGACTGAGAGCCCAGCACTGGCTCCTCAGCCGGAAAACCCTGGTTTTGCAAGTGCATTTCACAACCAGATCTAGACAAAATGTCTCGGTCGCCGCTGCCAGTGGGTGAGCTCTCCTCCACCTCCTTCCCCGCATCTTGTCTGCTTGTGAGGAAGCGGGATCTGGGACCAGGAAGGACCGGGAGGGCCCGGGTCGGGTCAGGTCGCCTGAGTTCCTGTGGGAAGGAGGCGAGGCCTGCGCCCTCGCGGCCGTTGCCACATTCAGCTGCTCCCAGGCCCGTCCCCGCCGTCGGTTTACCAGGCTGGGCCGCTGGGCCGCGGTGGCCATGGCCGGTGGCTGTGCCAGCCGCCCCCGCCCTCCACGCAGGAGGGCAGAGGGCCTGGGCTCTTCAAAGCCAAAGTCAGGAGCCTCCCGCCCCGGCAGGCGGGGCGCAGGACGTGGGCGGAGAGCGGTGCAGAGCAAAGTCAGGCTTCCGAGGCAGATCTGGCCACGCAGATCTTACCCGCCGAGTAAGGCGACCCTGCTAATCAGGGGCGGCGTCCGGGCTTGAAGCGAAAGCGATCGATGCTGCAGGGAACAGGGAAACAATCCAGCCACCGACTGCGACAGTGCGACACCTCTGCTTCCTCCCAGCCCTGTCCTCAGAGAACAGGCGCCAACAGGCAGCGACAGGATGTGACCAGAGGCCTGAGCGGGGGACCCCGGAGGCCCGTGTGCCCCTGGCAGTACCGGCCCTTTAATGGCACCAGCGTGGGGCCAGTCCTCCGTGCCCGTCGCCGTGTTGTCTCGGGGCCGTGCGAGGCAGGCCGTGGTGTCTCCGTGTTCGCGAGGAGACGGAGGTACGGTGCTCAGTGACGTGGCTGGAGGTTGGGTCCGTGTCTCGCTCCAGGTCCGGGCTCCTGGCCGCTGGGCAGCGCGGTGACCTTCCCTGCGGGGCCGCACAGGCGAGCAGGGTACGCGTCCCGTTAGCTCCCCTGGCAGGCTCCTCCCGAGCTGTCCCCTGGCATCGGGCTCCTGGCCCTGGGCAGCAGGGGCAGTGTCTGCCTCGCAGGGCCAGGCCGGGGAAGTGCTGAGCGAGCTCTGCGGCTGGGGCTGGGCACAGGAGCCGGTGAGCTCAGCACTCCAGTCCGCCTGCCCCGGGCCTCGCTGCCAGCGCAGGACGCCCCGCACGCCCCGACCGGAAAGGAGTGGCAGCCCTCAGCTCTGCCTGCTGGCTCGTCCCGGCCTTAGCACGGCCTGGCATTTGTACCTGTCCTTCGGTGCGAGAGCCGGACCGGGAGCTGTCACCCAGAGCCCCTTGGCCTTCGGTCAGGCATTGGGTAGTGAGATCCGGCCCAGCCGGTGTCAGGCTCTGGGTTAGCCGCTCAGGGTGCCATGGGTGTGGGTTCTGAGCATTTTCTTCGTGCCCTGGGCCACCAGGAGTCAGGGGAGGGCAGAGGGGAGCACTCGGCCCTGCTCCCTGTCTTCGGAGACTAAGGGAGCCACCGAGCCCCTTAGGGAGCGCTGGTGGGGACAGGGGAGGCGGGCTGCTCCCCCAGGTTAGGCAGGCTCTCTGTCACGCCTGGATGGTGAGTAGAAAAAGCCAGCCCGTCTCCAGCTTAGGGCCAGTCCCTCCAGGTGAGGCAGGAAGCCACGGCAGCACTCAGGGAGACTAAGCTGGCTAGGAGTTTGGGGTCCCAGTGGGCAGGCACGTGTGTCACTGAACTGGCTTGTGTCAGGGACGTGCAGGTGGGAAAACGGGCGGGTGTGAGTCTGAGACCCTGTGACTGGCTGTCTGCCCCCAGTAGCTCCTGCCCGCAGGCCCATAGCGGCGGACGGAGCACGGGCAGGTGGCAGCTCGGCCTGGGTGCCGCCGATGCCTGTGCCCGCTCTGCTCTGCTCCCCCGGGGACACTGGCTTTGGGACGCCGTCCAGCCGGCGTGGTGTGGGCTCAGTGGCCAAGTCTGAACCCTGGTGACCAAAACACGTGCAGGAAATAGGATCAAAATGGGCCTGGTCTCTGTTATGAAACGGCTTTTCCTTCGTGTCCAAGCAGGTGTCACAGGGGCTGCCGTGTACTGGGGGCTCTGGGTCGGCCAGGCCGCACCGCCGGGAGCCCTCCCACCGGCCTCGCGCTGGGAAGCCAGTGGCAGCCTGGCTCAGAGGCGGGCAGCGAAAGGAGACGCCGGCTAAACCGCTTAGCCCCACTTAGCCCCAGCCTTAGCCCCAGCCGTCTGCGGGGAGGGAGGCAGGCAGGCAGGCAGGCAGGCGTGATTACCTGTCTGGAGGGAAGCTCTGCTCTGTAATCCTCCGGACCCAGACACCCAATTTAAGAGTGCAGACCCGCCACGGAGGCTGTGCACTGCCCCCTCCCCACCCCCGCCCCGGGGACTCAGACCACGGCCCAGGCTGGTCCCTGTGCTGCTTCTGGGGTCACTTCCCAGCCTGGGGGTCCCACCAGGCCCCAGTCCCTGAGCCGGCCCCGCCTCGCTGGGCTTCTCCCCGGCTTCGCATCCAGGTGGGGCCAGGTGGGGCCGTGCGGTTGCCAGGGCTCCCCCCCCCCCAGGTCTGTCTCCTCAGGGCGGTCGTGGCCGTTGCTGGGCATTTCTGAAGCGTGTGGGCCGTGAGGCGGAAATGGGGGGGCGGGTGGCGTCAACGGTCCCCAAATCCCTGGTCTGACGCGGTGTGTGTTTACACCAAGTGCGCCTCCACCTGTGTTTGCTCTCCGCGTGGGGTGCTGGCCCCTGCTTGACCAAGCTCTCTTCTGCTCACTGACGTCCGAGCGAACCCAGCGACCTTCACTCCAGCTGCCCTCCCTTTAGGGGGTGGCACAGACCCCCACCCAAGTAACTCGGTTGCCCTGGTCACAGAGCACCAGCTGGGGGTGTGGGGCCAGGAGGACCCGGGCTGTCTCCGTCCTGTGACTGCCCCGCGGGTGGTGAAAGGCTGGGCAGACTGTGGAATTGACAGCTCGGGGTTCAGCTCAGCAGGTGGGAAGAGAAGGGACACCTGCCTGCCTGTGACCGCTGGCTCCTCCCTGCTCCCCCCTGCTCCCCCCGCCCACCGAAGCTGATGAACCAAACTGAACAGCCAGGGGCCGTTAACTGCGATGGACAGCTTGAGCACTTTCTAGCTATTAAGCAACTTTTCACAATGCCAAAAATTAAATGCTCATGTGTGCGCCTTCATTTACTCCCTCCTCAGGGCTGTGGCTGACCCGCGAGGGGCCAGGCCCGGGTGCCCTTTAGACTCTCGCCTGCTGACACATCGCTCCGGTGGGTGGGCCTGATCTTCCCGGCCGGCTCCTGCGTTATCGGTGCCCTGGCAGTTCTCCCTTCCTATCTCTGCCTCACGGTCGGAAGAAAGCGCACGGGAACACCTGGAGACGGTTGTACCTCGGCTGCCACGTGTGCTGGTCTCCCGGTCAGCTGTCATAAATGGCGTGGCGCCCAGCAGGGGGCGTGCTGGAGGCAGCGATCAATGGTTCTGTTTCATCGTTGATGTTTCTGTCTGTCCATCCCCCTTCCTCTCTGAAATCAGTATATATACATATATATATTTAAGTTTTTAAAATAAATAAATGGCATGGCTAGCATGGAGCAGGAGAGTTATGAATGTGTTTCTCTGACATTGGCCGGTGACTTACACAGAGTCTCATTGGGGTTGGGGCAGCTGTCCACCCTGTTTGCTGGTGTGTTTTTAATTTGTTTTATTTGTTTTATTTTTTTGTTGTTGTTTGCTGGTGTGTTTTTAATTTGTTTGGCCTAATTCCCCACAGGTTCGGGTTTCTCCACACCTGTGCGCGCACCTGCCCAGGCCCCGCCTGAGCTCTCGGGAGGGGAGGGGCACTGTGGTCCCCACTGCGCGCCGGGGCCAGAGCCTGGCTTCCCTCCACTGCTGCGGAGAGGCCGGGCAGTGAGTCCCTGAGCTTCCCGCCGGCCCCCCAGGCCCTCTGCCCGCCCTGGCTGGCACCTGAGCGGACTCTCCTCCCAGGAGCACACTCTGCTCGCTTCTGTCTGGGAGGCCCAGGCGCTCTGACGGCAGGCGGGCCGGGCCTCCCGAGCCCCCACCTCGGCCCTAACGTGCTGATGCCCTTGCTGAGATCGGTGGCCGTGCTGGGCCGTTCCTGTGGGATGGCCGTCGTGGCCGTACACGGGTCTCCTGAGATGACAGCGGTCCTAGGGGAGGGTCAGTGCCACCTGATGGGGTCAGGGCTGCCTGGAACTCGTGCGGGTTCTCGCGTGCCCACACGCATGCGGGAGCAGGTGCTGAGCGCCTGGCTGGGGCCGGACGGCCGCAGCCCTCACGCCGCGTCTGCCCACAGTTCCTCCGGGTCACGAAGCAGTACCTCCCGCACGTGGCGCGCCTCTGCCTCATCAGCACCTTCCTGGAGGACGGCGTGCGCATGTGGTTCCAGTGGGGCGAGCAGCGCGACTACATTGACAGCACCTGGGGCTGTGGCTACCTGGTGGCCTCCACCTTTGTGCTCCTCAACCTGCTCGGACAGCTCAGTAAGTGGCTCCCTCGCCGATAGTAGGGTGGGCCCCGGGGACTGGGGGGCTTGCTGAACAAAGGGCAGCCTGTGTCGGTGTCCCCAGAGCAGAGGTGGGCGAGCTGGGCAGGGAGGAGCCGGCAGGGGGAACCCCGGTGTCCAGAGGATGAATGAGGGGGAGGAGAAAGGAGATGAGGCCTAGCGCAGCTCACGTCGGCCTCAGGCCTGGCTTCTGCTCCTGGCGGCAGCCTCCGCCCTGGACACGCTTCCCGCCTGTCCTGCGGTGCCGCAGGGCCTGTGTGGCGGTCAGCTGACCGCGGGGGGTGCCGCCCTTCCCCCCTCCCACACCTTCATTTTTGCCCGCGGCGGGTAGTTGGGCTTCGCTGCACCTGAGGCCACTGAGGCGGCCGGCCACCGGGGCGGGTCCCCTCACTCGGAGCCCTCAGCTCGCCTTCTCCTTTCCAGCTGGCTGCATCCTGGTGTTGAGTAGGAACTTCGTGCAGTACGCCTGCTTTGGGCTCTTCGGAATCATAGCGCTGCAGGTAACCGGGGTGAGAGGTGGGGGGATGGGGGGATGGAAGCGCGAGGTCTCACCTGGAACCGCCCTGCAGGGAAATGGGGGGGCGGGGGCGGGGGCGGGGGCGCCTTGCCTTTCTTCTGAGGTTGGAGCGGAGCCTCTGGGAAGGCCTTTGGAGGAGTCTCCCAAACTCCTTTCCGAGAAGGGGCTCCAGGCGGACGCAGGAGAAGCAGGCGGCCCTCGGCTGGCAGCTGTGCCGAGTGGGGCCGGGCTCTGGGTGCCCACTTTGCCCCATTGAGTCCTGCCCGCCTGGGTTTGCTCTGAGAAGGTGGGAGCCGCCGGGGCCATGCTCTTCCTTTCCTTCGTAAAGAAGACCCCTGCCCCTGGGGTGCAGGCTTTCACACCCCGCTCTCCGGGGCGCACCGGGGCAGCTCTGCTTAGACAGGCCCTGAGCCCAGCTTGCCCTCAGCCGTCCTGGGTGTCCTGCGGCGGTTTTGTGTCTCAGATTTAAAAACCTGCCTAATGCTCTCTCTTCGGTAGAAAAGCAGGTGCTTGACAATGCTGACACCACCTTTCTCTGCCCTCTGTCCCCTCAGACCATCGCCTACAGCATTTTATGGGACTTGAAGTTTTTGATGAGGTACGTGCGTCTGGTGGAGGGTCACCTGCTCCTTCCCCCCACCTGGGCGCTGTCACTGGGGGTCCAGGCTGTGCTGCTTAGACTGCGGTGGATGTTGGCAGAGCCTTCGCCACCCAGGGCCTCAGGACACGCTGCCTCTCCTGGCCCAGTGGGGGGAGGAGGGGTCCCAGTGAAGCACTGCTCACTGAGCCAGCTGCTCAGCAGTGCAGTTCCAGGCGTGCTGGCGCCCATGCTGTCTGATGCACAGACACGTGTGTGTCTCCAGGCCTCGTCCGCTTGGTCTGCAGAGGGGCCAGGGCCGGGGTCTCGGGCGGGTCTGGCGCCCTGGCTGGGCCTGAGCTTGCGTGGCGGCTCCCGCAGGAACCTGGCCCTGGGCGGGGGCTTGCTGCTGCTCCTGGCGGAGTCCCGCTCGGAAGGGAAGAGCATGTTCGCCGGCGTCCCCACTATGCGCGAGAGCTCCCCCAAGCAGTACATGCAGCTGGGCGGCCGCGTCCTGCTGGTGCTGATGTTCATGACCCTCCTGCACTTCGACGCCAGCTTCTTCTCAGTGAGTGCTGCCCGCCTCGCCCCCGCCCCTGGCCCCGCCCCGCCTGGTGTGGACCAAGCAGAGCCCAGGGCCACCAAGGCAAGGCTTTCGAGGCCATTCAAGAACAAGCTGTCAGGTTCTTATGTGCCCAGATCCTGCCCCCAACAAATGAGGTCCAGCCCCAAGGGCAGCTGGAGGGCCTGGTGCCGGCCTCACGGCTCGCATTTTCTCTCCTCCCTCCCCTTTATCTCATGGCTCCGGGTGCTGGGTGTGCAGAGCTGAAGAAGGTTCTGTCCTTGGCCCCCGGGAGTTGACAGAGCAGGTCTTTGTAACCCAGTGTGCGCCTGCCTGGCGAGGTGCCCAGGTGTGAGGCCCGGGCTCCCACTGGAGTGGCTTGGGCGACCTCGGCCTGTGCTGGGCACTGCTCCATCTGCCCCAGCCCCGTTCTCACCCCACCGTCTCAGCCCACCTGTCACCATCCCACCGTCACAGCCCACCTGTCACCATCCCACCGTCTCAGCCCCACCTGTCACCATCCCACCGTCTCAGCCCACCTGTCACCATCCCACCGTCTCAGCCCACCTGTCACCATCCCACCATCACAGCCCACCTGTCACCATCCCACCGTCTCAGCCCCACCTGTCACCATCCCACCGTCACAGCCCACCTGTCACCATCCCACCGTCTCAGCCCACCTGTCACCACTCTCTCTCAGCCTGGCTGAGAGCGGCCCCAGTCCCTTCGCCCGGGCACTGGCCGTGCTTCTTGCTCACAGAGTCTCTCGCTCCCCCTCTGCAGATCCTCCAGAACCTGGTGGGCACCGCGCTGATGATTCTGGTGGCCATTGGCTTTAAGACCAAGCTGGCCGCCTTGACTCTGGTCGTCTGGCTGTTCGCCATCAACGTGTATTTCAACGCCTTCTGGACCATCCCCGTGTACAAGCCCATGCACGACTTCCTCAAGTACGACTTCTTCCAGACCATGTCGGTGATCGGAGGCTTGCTGCTGGTGGTGGCTCTGGGCCCCGGGGGCGTCTCCATGGACGAGAAGAAGAAAGAGTGGTAACAGACCTTCCCGCCTGGCTAGGCCCGTGGCCGGCGAGGACTAGTTCGGGGTCGATCCACAAACGGCCGGCATTCACACCCTCTCCCCGCTGCCTGGGTGACGCACAGATGTGAGAGAACTCTGCAGCCCTGAGTGATGGCTGACTACTCTGCCCGCCGCCCGCCGCCCGGCCAGCCAGCGGCCGCCGGCTCCTCCCTCCCCATGGCCAGGCCTGGGCCGCGGCGAGAGCAGCCGGGTGGGGTGCGGCCTCTGTCCTGGTTGGTTCCTGTGGGTGGTGGGGCCTTCCAGCTGTACCCTGAGCAGATACATCTGTGTATCATTCAAAGCAGTCTCCCTCTTATTTTTTTTAAAGTTTACGTTTTAGCTGAAACGAAGTGATTGTGGATGGCCCAGCACACCAGAGCCCTGGCTGCTCGCTGCCTTGCATGTTACCGAGGACAGCGACGTGCTCCAAGGAGCCCCCCAAAGCGCGAGGCAGTGTTAGGGGCCGTCCACGGAAACGTCCTTAACCAGGACGCCGGCCAATGGTGCAGATCACGTGGGTCTCCGGGGCTTCCGGGCCCGGGGGGGGGGGGGCGGGGGCGGAGCTTAGAGCCCTGCGGAAAGCCGCCCAGAGCCGGGACCCTCTCGCCCACCCACGCACCCACCCACACGCCTGCAGGTTGGCTCGCTGCTCCCGTGGCCTGCCCGGGGGAGCCGGCAGCCAGCTGCTCCCGTGGCCTGCTGGGGAGGAGCAGACAGCCAGCTGCTCCCGTGGCCTGCCGGGGAGGAGCCGGCAGCCAGCTGCTCCCGTGGCCTGCCGGGGAGGAGCCGGCAGCCAGCTGCTCCCGTGGCCTGCCGGGGAGGAGCAGACAGTCAGCTGCTCCCGTGGCCTGCCGGGGAGGAGCAGACAGCCAGCTGCTCCCGTGGCCTGCCGGGGAGAAGCAGACAGCCAGCTGCTCCCGTGGCCTGCCGGGGAGGAGCGGACAGCCAGCTGCTCCCGTGGCCTGCCGGGGAGAAGCAGACAGCCAGCTGCTCCCGTGGCCTGCCGGGGAGGAGCCGGCAGCCAGCTGCTCCCGGGGCCTGCCGGGGAGGAGCAGACAGTCAGCTGCTCCCGTGGCCTGCCGCGGAGGAGCAGACAGTCAGCTGCTCCCGTGGCCTGCCCGGGGGAGCCGGCAGCCAGCTGCTCCCGTGGCCTGCCGCGGAGGAGCGGACAGCCAGCTGCTCCCGTGGCCTGCCGGGGAGGAGCAGACAGTCAGCTGCTCCCGTGGCCTGCCCGGGGGAGCCGGCAGCCAGCTGCTCCCGTGGCCTGCCGGGGAGGAGCGGACAGCCAGCTGCTCCCGGGGCCTGCCGGGGAGGAGCAGACAGCCAGCTGCTCCCGGGGCCTGCCGGGGAGGAGCGGACAGCCAGTTACCTCACTCAGCCTCGTGCAGCCTCGCCGGCCTGGCGCGCCCCGGCTGAGGGATCCCAGGCGGCGGCCGCGGCCCCGGCCCCCGAGGCTGCTGCTTGCTCAGAGCCTGTCTGCTGTGCTGCACGCGGCCCACATTACTTCTTACTGATTTGTGATGCCTTACCGATTGGATCTGACTCCTGTATTTAAAGCTCTAACGTTGCCTTACACTGTGTTTCTCTTCTTGGGGGCGAGCGCTTCCTGCTGACCTCGGCCAGGCCCGTCCCAGCGAAGGCCGGGGACTGGGACACTGTGCTTCCCACTGTCCTCCCCCAGGTCCTTGGGGGACAGGCCTACCGCGAGCGAGAGCCTGGCCTCGGGCTCAGCTCTCTGGTCCTCAGCGAGGTGTGCGGGCCCGAGGGCCAGCCCGGAGGCAGGTCCAGGTCACCTTCCAGACCAGAGCCAGGTGAGGGCCTCCGTGCCGGAGGCTTTGCGGGGAGGGGGCTGCCTTTGCCCCTCAGGGCTCTTAGCACCGCATCTGGCTCTGCAGCCTGGACCCCTGATGGCGACCATTTCACCTCCACCCGGGCCCCAGCCATGGCGGAGGCTCGTCCTGGTGGCAGACAAAGCCGGCCGGAGGGCCTATCTCTTCCACTCAGATGCTCACTACACACTCTGATTCAACTGGGCCGTGTGGTCTCTTGGTCCACACCCCCTCCCCCCTTAACACATCCTGGCAGCCCCCACCCGAGTGACAGCCCGAGTGGCACCCTCAGCCAAGCCGCATCTTGTCGGGCTCCTCCCTGACTGCTGAGACCTGTGTCGACCGCCCGATCACTGATGGTGGTCACTCCCGCCCCCCTCCCCGCCCAGAGCTGGCTAGCACCTGGGCCCCGGTAGGAGGAGTAGAAAATAACCTACCAATTGGTTTTGGCAAAACAATTTGACAACTTTTTGCTTTATGTGGGAAATAGGTATCGATCTCATTTTATGCTGTATTTTATATCTTAGTTGTGTTTGGAAACGTTTTGATTTTGGAAACATGGAAATAAACAATGGCATTTGTTGTACGCAGTGTGACCCTCGGGTGCCATCCAGGGGGGCGGGCCGAGCCAGGCTCCCAGCTGCCGCATGAGGCCCACTCACTCCGCCATGTCTGTCCACACGGGACTGTCCCCCCTGCTCCTGGGGCAGCCAGAGTGGATGGAGAAACCCCAGGACCCCCCACCCGCTGGGAGGACACAGGGCAGCTGGGGGACGTGGGGTAGAAACCCCAAGGACTCGCAAAGGCTGTGCGGGCCTGGCGAACGTTTATTACCCCACCTGCTTGAAGGAGCGGACGTGCTTGGGCTTGCGGTGACGGCTTTTGAACTTCTTTGACGGGCCCGGCTGCTTCTGTGGGGGACAGAGCTCCAGTGAGTTCCCAGGGGAGTGGGTGCGAGGCAGCCCGCCCGCCCCGTCCACAGAGGAGTGCTCAGCTGGAAACCACCCCTACACTCCGCCCAGTTTCCCTCGCTGCCGGCTCATCCAGGGCGGCGCTGCGAACCTCCAAACGCAAAGACCTTGACCTCTAGTCCCGCCCCTTCCACACAGGCTCAGGGCACCTGTCGGGCAGCCAGGCTCCCGCAGGTGCAGCCCCGGCTCCCTGCTCACGTGCCAGGAGCGCGGGGCCTTCTCTGCGCAGAGGGCGGCTTTAGTTTCTAGGGAAATGGAACCCTCGCTAAGGATGCTGCTGCCGCGCTAGCAGCCCTGTGGGCCACTCACCTTCCTGCGCTTGAGGGCCCCGCCCGTCCCCTCTCCGTCCCCAGCGCCCTCTTCTCTTGGCTGCCTCGGCCTCTCGTCCTCATCGGTCAGAACGTCGTCAGCGCTGTCCCCCTGCTCGGCCCCTGCCAGGTCCTTCCTGGTGAACAGCTCGGCTGGAAGGAAGAGGGATCCGGTGAGGGTCACTGCCTGCGCAGGGGGCTAGGGCACGTGGAGTCGGGTGGGAGCGGAGGGGGAGGGGCAGGGAGCGCATCCGCCTACGTGGGTACAGGTCTGCCATGCTGTCGTCGCTGTCGCTCGGGGCCGTGCCATCGCCGTCGCTGGACTCGGGCTCCCAGAAGGCTGGTCTCCGGCGGGGCGGCCTGTCGCTGTCCGCCTGGTCTTCCCTCCGCCGCCTCTTGTGCAGGAGGCAGGCGGGCACGTACTCCACGCCCTGCTTCTGACACTCCTCGTCTGCAGGGGGGCCAGCTCAGCACACGGCTCTCCTGGCCTCCTGGCCTCCCGCCCTCTGCCTGGGCCCACCCCACTGGGCACAGATCTACTGGGCGTGAGCACCACCTCCGGCCGGGCCGCCAGGCTGCAGGGGCCCAGGGCACCTGACTGGAAACTGCCAGCCTGTCACCGGGAGGAAGCACAGTGGCTCATGGGATGGCGCCCTCTGCAGACCTCTGGCCGGAGCACAGGGCAGGACAGGATGGAAGGATGGAGCTCACTATCCTGCACTCACCGGCCCCCCATCAGCACAGGCCTGCCCAGGGCAGGGCAGCTCCCGGGACCAGTGGTGCCCGGGGCCTGGCCTCACTCGCCCCAACTCCTGTCACCATCCATGGGGTGGATGAGTCTGCTGGGGTCACTGCCCACTTCTAGCCACCTCCAGGACCCATTCCCCTCTCCATCTCTGCCACCCGCTCCGGCTCAGCACGACCAGAACCCCCACAGGGCATCTCCTCGGCCCCTCATCCCACACAATGCCTCCTCCCCATGCTCTCTGCACCCTTGGTTAAGTCTCGTAGTGACTCTCACCGAGTCCTCTCTGCCCCCCCCACCCCTCGCTCCTCCTGCCCTGGGGCCGCTGCCCATGACCAGAGGACCAGCCCCTTTCTGCTCTGGCACAGGCTTTGTGGGGTGGAAAACAACCCTCCTCTTGCCCCCCCCCACTCCCCCAGGGCAGTCTCATGCTGCACAGGAAGCAGGAGAGCCTCTGGCCTCCTCGTGTCTTCCATCGATCCCACCTGACTGCCCCTGCCTGGCTGTCCTGCCTTCTCGTCTCCCGCGCACCTCTCATCTCCCTGGCTGGATCTGATAAGAGTCTCTGCTTCCTCTCACCTTCCCAGGCTCCTTGGTACCCAGGCCCATCTGTCCCTTCTTGGCTGGCTCCGAGGACGCCAAAGCCACTCTGTCAGTGACTCGCACACTGAGCGCTGGTCCCTGACACTCCTCCCATTCAAAGTGCTCTTTTCCCTTTCCATTCCCCCGAAGCCTAGTCAGACCCCGCTCCTAACTTCACTTCATGGTGCCTGCCGCCTGTCACCTACCACTTCTCACGCCAGGAACTCCTGTCCCTTTTCCTCCTCTGGCAACCCCACCCCCGTGTTAAAATCTGGCCACACGTTCCACCCTCCCTGCCACACCTGGTGACGCAAGGGGAGCCCCGCCCCCCCTTCATTCACCGGCACGCCCTCTCCTCTGCTCCTCAGAGGAACAGGGATGGAGATGCCCTGCTCATGCCAGTCCCTGCTTCACCCCGTTCTTGCATCCAGCGGCACGTGCTCCTGACCACGGCCGCCAAGGCCCTCTGCTCCCACCCCACCTCCTTCTCACCCTCTAGTGCGTGTGGCACACGGGAGGCGGGTCCTTCAGGGCCTCCCCCGCCCGGCCATGGACCTGGCCCAGCCTCTGTCCTCTTCCCGCTCCGCATGCCCCCGTCCAGGCCTCCTGAGTCAGGCAGGCCTTGCTGGCTGCCCAGCGCCCCGCCCCCAGCACTCAGTACAGTCACTGCCCAGGTCTCCCCCAGCAGCGCCCTCATTGTAACGTGGGGTGCCCGGAGCTAACGCTACTTTAGACCAACTGGACCTGCCGAGCACAGTGAGTGAGGAGCACTGTTCTGGGAGTCCGCTTCCTGCTTTGCACCCCTCTCCACTCCGCCATTCATCGAGCACGGCCACCGAATGGCCCAGACTGCTTCTGCCCTCGAG